GTCACGATGTTGTGGTCCAGGAAGGCGGTCACCTGCCACATGGGCAGCCCGCACGCCAGGATCAGGCCCACCCAGCCCACCAGGCACAGCACCAGGCCCAGGATCTCCAGCGCCGCCGACCCCATGGCTGGAGGCCAGACGCGCCCGGCGGCCCCCGGCCTCCCAGCGGGCGCGGCGGTGCCTCGGAGCGGCTCGGCGCCCCGCGCGGGCCCCGGTGCCTCTGCGCCGCGCGCCCTCCCGCCGTCCGCTGGCCCGCGGCTCTGTTGCACCGTCTTGGGTCTGCCCGCGCCTCCCGGGGGCTCATCATTTGAAGGTTCGGGGGCGGATTCTGCCCCCCGGGTCCAGCCTCCCAGCCCGAAACAGCCAATCCGTGAGAGGGCCGTCGCCCTGCGGCCAATCACAGGCTCCGGCCGCCAGAGTTGGGGAAACAACAGCGCACCGGGTGGCCGCGGACGCCGGGCCCGCTCCCCCCTCGCCCAGCCGCGCCCCTAGCCCCACCCGTCCGTGTCCTGGTCGCAACGGAGCTCATTCCAAGCTGGTCTGGGCGCGCTTCGCGGGCCACCTTTCTGCGTGCCCCGGCCCCCTGCTTCACGAGCGGCATGACCACAACCTGCGCCGCCCCGCCCACTCCACGCCGGGACCGAGCCCGATGGTCCCTTTCACCCGGGCCCGCTCTGCTCTTGCCTAACCAAAGCCCGCACCATCACCACCGCGCAGAAGCCTGCGTGGGGGCTCTCCAGGGCCTCATTTCCCAGGTTACCTTCCTCCAGGAAGCCCGTCCCGGAGTCCAAGCCCCACCCAGACCCTTCCCACCCTCCCACGTCCCAGCAGCGCCCCTCTAGTCCCCGCACTGTTTCTCCCACCCCACGCCGGGGATGTCAGGCGGGCCTTGGGATCAAGCCGGTGGCCACCGTCCCGCGCCCACATCTCTCACAGCCTCCCCCGAGCCTGAGCCCCTGGCACGAATCGACAGCAAAGGGGCTTTCCCGCCGCCTGGCCATCCCACTTTCCCCCTGCCACAGGGGCTTCCAGACCTTTCAGTCTTGGCAGGGACTGCTTCTCTTCCTGCGGCGCTGCCCATCCCCCATCCCAGGGGGCCCAGCTCGGACGACACCACCTCAGGAAGTCCCCAGTGACCCAGCACAAGGGTAGTGCTCCCAAGGGCAGCGGTGGCCCCAGGCTGGGCGGCCTGCTCTGGCCCTCGGACTGGAGGGACACAGAGGGGGCTGTACACTGCCCTCCCGCCGGTAGCGATGGTGCCCCTGGCACCCCAGCCCCCAGGCCACCCTCCGGAAGCCAACTTGGAGTTTCCTGGCCAGGAGGAAGAGCCCCCATCCTCGCTAGAGGAGGGCGGCGCGGGATTTCCGGGCATTCTTCTGCACAATGGCCCAGCCATTTCTCGAAAGGTCCACTGGGGTGGACGCTCTGGCCCCCCTGAGGCTCAGGTGGGGGCACCAGGCC